AAAACCATTTCCAAGCAAGTAATCAACCAACCAACCAACCAATCAAACAAACAAAGCTTGTGTGAGAACATTCTCATGATCATAAGATAACCATTTAGAAAATTGAGCAGCCTCTTTTGAGATTAAATGGAGAAATTTTATTATTTGGATACTTAAATACAGAGAAAGAATCTCAGCATATCTATTTGTAAAAGCACGGATATGATCAGATGCATGAAATTGGTATCTTGGAAAGTTCTGAAGGCAAGAGTAGTAAATAGATAATAGATAATAAGAGATTCTTCACTCTTTATTGTTACTACTTTGCAGATACGTTTTAGCTACTTTTATTAGTAGCTATAATCTGAAAAATGACCATTGTCCATTAATTGACTGCCAGTTATGTAGTAGGAATTATGAATTACATGTATATACAGTATTTCTAGTCATGCTAAAATCCAAATGAGTACATTTTCAGAGGTGATGCCATTGCAGCAGATACATTTCTGTGCTGTTTTGCAGCTCAGTGAAGGGTTTCCCAAACAATTTACAGTAAACTAAAAAAAAAAAATACATAAAGTAATTTAAAACTTTATAAGCATGTAATTGTTAGCTGCTCGGGGTCACTTGGTTGAGATGGACAGCTATAAAAATTGAATGAATAAATAAATATTGAGAACAAACATTCAAGGCAAAGAATATAGGGAATTAGAGATGCCTGAAAACCATGTGAAGTAAAGTCACTAGAAATTTGACTAACCTGAAAGGAATTGTAATATCTGGATTCTTTCCTTGGGAAAGGCCTGTCTTGAGTTGGTACATTAAAAAGCAGGGCCTACTTTTGCTCAATAAATAAATAAATAAATAAATGAATAATATTCTTTTACAAGTTAACAGTTCCAAAAAACGAAGTTGGGAGAAGAAGTATAAGGTGATTAGGGAGATACCAGTCATTCAGAAAAAATAGAGTAAGAAAACTGATTATAGTAAGAAAGGAGATTAAAAGTTGGATTTTGCTTCCAGGTTCTAGGAGGAAAAAGATGATTAGACATTTAATGAAAGGTAATTCTATTTAGTCGCATTGGCTGATATGCAGTATATTTAGTATGTCACTGACTACAAGTCTTAGGAATATTCATAGTAGAATGCTCCTGCTTGTGGGCCTCTTATAAGCATCTCTTTGGCCATCCTGTTGAACAAAAGCATTATTCAAGTGTTGTACATTGATCTTTGCAAATGAACTTTTTTTTTTATAAACCTAGAATTGAGTTCAGGGAAAACCAGTTTTGTGAGTTTGCAGCAGAAACCAGCTATAAACAGTGCTGATTAGTTAGGACTCTGTGAACAAATAACCCCTTCTTTTTGCAATTTTGCAGCTTTTAAAAACCAGTGTAGGTTCTTTTTAAAAATAATAATAATAAAGTTGATGCATTAGAATTTAACTGCATAAGTGTCCACTAATATTTTTTTTAAATCACTGAACAGTAGGCAGGAGGAACAATACTTAAAGCTGAAGCCAAATTTTACATTTACAGTTTTCTGCCAATTGTTTGGCAGAGTTTTGAGATAGTTACATTTGCCTCATGTGGTGGAGTTACCACTTTTTATTATTAGCATACAGCTTGAATACCTTTGTTTTCATGTTAGAGCTACCAATTCTTTGTAGTCATTCCTTTGAAGCTTCATGTTATAATTTTGAATGGGTTCAAATATAGGTTACTTGCAGCTTAATAGAAGACCACATGCTTTGTATGCAGAAAGTCCTGAATTCAAATCCTGAAATTAGTTGAAAAAGAACAAGTCGCAACAAGAAAAAGCTGTGGAACAAAAGGGCCCCAGTCTAAGTCATTTTGATGCCTGTGGCAGAACAGTGTATTCCACTCATTTATCTAACTCTGTAAATCAAATTGTGTAGTACCTAAAACCAGCCTTGCTATTTGGATACATTTATTAAAAATCCCTATATCAGCTTTCCACGTTCAGTGTATGAAAAAAAGCAGCCTTCTACCTCCAGCTATTCAGTGTGTTATACATGAGTCACAATTGCCCTTGCCCTTTTTGAACAAATAAAATGCCAATTAAATTCTCTATTTTGGGCATTATTGAACTTTTAAATTATCTACATAGACATGGTAGTTCCACATTTCCAACAGAAACTGTTTTGAAAGAAAGAAGCCCAGAATAGTAATCATGCATATATTTTTAGAGTAAAATATAATTTATGTAGTCAAAAGAGATTTTAATTTTGCTCAGTGAATTTGCAAACTGTTCTCTCATTCATTGCACATGTTTCAGAAATAGCTGATAATCAACTGATTGTTATGCTATTTTTGTTTTCTACATTGCAGGACTTTTATATATATTTTGCTTTGCTTTTGTAACAATTGTAAACATTTGTATACATGGGTATATTTTTTACATGGAGTTTTTAAAAAGTGTGCCCTGGATCTTATTTGTAATCAAATTATTTTATCCAATTGACTCCATTAGGTCTTTGGTAGTAGTGAAAAAAAAAGACCCACATCTGCTTGATCCAATAAAAGGTTCATGGGTGGCAGAATTTTCTTGTATTTTGAGATTTGTAAGAGGTACTTGAATGGTTTATAATGGCTCTTTGTCCGAGTTTGCTTTTTACCTTATGGAGCCATTACATTTGAGTCTCTAAAATAAGATGACAGACTTCTATATAATGCTGAATTACTTTTCTTGATCTTCAAGTGTTTCTGAGTTCATGCTGTTCTGTGAATATTGTAACCTTGCATCAGCTTGATTTTCAAGAGAGAATAGTTTCAAGAGAGAGATTTATTCCAGGAAACTGAGAAAATAACGTTCCTGTTCCAGAAAGGTTGTTCCTAAATTTGGTGTCTCCACCTTTCTTTAGCTTTCTTGAGATACTACTTCCATTGCTAGTTGCCCATTCTCAAATTAAAATGGCAATAACAAATCCCAAATTATGTTTGCATGGTGGAATTTGACCTGTGCAAAAGCACCACTAATTAATTACCATACTATCCTTGTGAAGTTGTGTGTTGCACGGCTTTTGCCACAATAGTAAACCACTATGAATCAAGAAAGCAGAAGACACAAAACATTTTCAGTGCTAATGGGAAAAACCCAACCCAGCCAATCTGGAGGACAAAACGCATTTCTGTCTAGGCAATGGGCTGATTTTAGAGGATTTGTTATTTTTTCAGAAGCAGTAATCACTTGCAAATAATAATAGGTTACTAATTATTCCTAATTAATTACTACGAATACTCATAATTTTTACTAATAAATTGGCACAGTGGTTATAGTGGAGTACTGTAGGCTACTTCTGCTGCCGCCTGTCTGCAATCTGGCAGTTCATATCCCACCAGGCCCAAGGTTGACTCAGTCTTCCATCCTTCCGAGGTGGGTAAAATGAGGACCTAGATTGTTGGGGCAATATGCTGACTCTGTAAACTGCTTAGAGAAGGCTATAAAAACCCTGTGAAGCGGTATATAAGTCCAAGTGTTATTGCTATTGCTACTTAGGGATTATCTACGCAGATTTGCAGGCTAGGTTAAAAAAAATAAAATTAGAATAAAACTAAGAAATCATTTGCAATGTCTAGGCCAGTGATGGCGAACCTTTTTGGGCTCCTGTGCCAAAAGTGAGGGGAGTGCAAGGAGGTCATACATGGGTGTGCCATACCCATAATGCTATTTGTGCAATCCCCCCATGTGCATGAATGCGCATGCACACCCTACGCATGAGCATGCAACCCCCCCTTTTTCCCTCGATAGACCCGTTTTCGTCCTCCCTGGGCTCCAGATTTCAAAGAGCATGGGGAGGGCAAAAACAGCCTTCCCCACCCTCTCAAGGCTCTTTGCTGTCTCCCGGACTGCACTGGGGGCAGCTGAACAGCCTGCTCTTGGAAATGGAGGCTGTGGCTGATGGGCTTGGCCCTGGGCTCTTGCTCCACCAGCCCAGGAGATGGAGTCCAGGGAGGAATATAACGGCCGTTTTGGAGGAAATGGACCCAGCACCTTCCACTTACATCCACAGCAGCCGCGCCTGACACTCCCTGCCGCCTTTGGATGCAATAGAGGAAACCACTCCTCTTGGTGGGGTAGCCAAGCTGGCCTGTACTGGGCCCCAAGCCCTGCAACCACCCCACCCAGCACACAGTCTCTATTGCGGCCTGTGAAGGCCCATGCTTTGGCCAGTTGACACCCTGGGAGACCCATTTCCTGGCTCCATGTTCCCGATCTGGGTTATGGGGCAACCCCTCGGCATTATCCTCCGCTCCCTACAATGCTGTCGCCACTACCGCCTCTGCCAGGCGTATTGACTATGCCCATGCTGCCTCCTCAGGTCCTAGTAGTCATTCCGCCTGTTCTATCAGATGCACCAGAAACATCTGCAATCAGTGTCTGCCCGGCCCACCTCCCCCACGGCAGCTTTCCTTCTGGCTGCTCCAGCATCCCAGCCAGAAGCAGAACTGTGACAACTGCCAGGGGCTAGGGGGCGGCAATGGCAAGGAAGGGCAAGGGCTTCCATCCCTCCCCACCCTGAGCGGGCTACTTGCATGGCTCCAGCCCACAACTCTGATAAGGATCCGTGGTCTGGAGCACTGCCGCTTCCAGCCGGGATATATTCTGCCAGGCCCTCGGTGGCGTCTTTATACAGGTAGCTTGCCTCCCCTGCCAGCAGCTCCTCCAGCGTCCTGGCTTGAAGCAGCAGCGGAGCAGTCGCTGTTACCAAGGGCGAAGGAGTTGCGGTGGCGAGAACGGGTGACTGCCACCCCTTTGTCCCTTCCCCACCATCTGGCTGCTGCACCCGAACCCGGAAAAGCAACTGGTGATGGCTCCGCATGCCAGGAGAAATGGCTCTGCGTGCCACTTCTGGCACACGTGCCAGAGGTTTGCCATCATGGGTCTAGGCTCTTTTTTGGTCAGCTGTGATGAAACATTTTGTCTTTGGAATAAGACAGATTTGATTTGTCACTGATTTGAACATCATTTCACATGTAAATGTCCTTTTTTATATATATATTTAGAGATGCTGCTGCGATAACTCTCCTCTCTTGTCTTTATTGCAATAGGAAAGAAATAATGAGATTATTTTATGTCTCTTGTAGATACTGAAATAAAAATGGAGGAGATCTTACTTTGAAGTGTTCGCATTCTTTGGTTTCCAATTTTTGAACTGAACAAGTTCCTTCATTCCTCTCCTCAAAAAAAGGCAATGTATTGCTCCTGGAAAAGGCAAGTGCATTTTCTTTGTGTGCTGCTAGGGTGGATAGAAAATAGTCTCTTGCTGTGCTTTGATTGGGTTTTGTCTTCATATTTTCTAATTCTTTTTTCAAATTAAAAGCTATCCACTGGACTAATTTCGCTGTTAGGGGGGTAGCAATCAGCATGGATTATTATCAATCCAGAGTCTTGTTTGTTGATTTATGGATTCAGCAGCTCAAGGCAGGGTACACGTGTTCCCTTTTCCCCACAATAGTACTATCAGATAGATTGGGAAACAACAATCATGCTATGGATGAGCATAGACTTAAATATGTGTCTCCCAAGTGCTGGTCCAATACTTAACCATTATACCACACTGAAGCTACAGTTTCAGCAACTTGTTTTTTGGGAATCTGCCTGTCTGATCTGTGCAAACATAAGAAAAACCCATGCATTCTTATTTTCTCTGCTGGACCTGAGTGTCTGTATTGTGCTTGTAATACCTGTATTAAGGGTGTTTCCTGCTGCTTAATCTTTATATGAATAATCTTAATGTTACAACCATAAAATCAAAAATACTATACTGCAAATATGAGGCTCTACAAACTAAAAATTCTTCACTTATAAGTATTCTGAAAACTCAAACTCTAAAAGACATGAATATACTCATCAAAGCTGAGCCAATGAATCAGAGCAATGGGAAAGTTTCTGAATTTTAAAATGCAAGCCAAAATTTATCATAATCACTAACAGTGCATAGTAACTAAAGCTAAACAAACTGATCAAAACCAACATTGATGTGTATATGTGCTCTGTGTATGATCTTTTATTTTGTTGATATTTAGCTTCTGTATACATTCAAAAATGTAAACAATTTAAGTGTCATGAAATTGCTTAATTACTTGCGAGATAGGAGCTCTGTACATTTGCTCCCAGTACATAACAGGTAGATTCTGATTGGGGAAAGGGCTCCTCGGGGAAAGCAGAACCTAACCTTTGTATGACTTTTATATTTAGCCCTTTCTTTTAAGAGAATCCTCTTTCATCTGAGTTTCCTCCAATGTAGTGGATTTTAACATCCAGATCTGTATTCCAACTCATCAGTCATAGTAGAGGAATTAGGAATTCTGTACATGCTTATTTATTTTTGTGCCTCATTTCCATAGAAGAGCACTAGAGGTGACATATCCTTATGGGTAACAATGTTTTCATCAGGAATAATAAATTATGGTAATTTGAATACCTTAGCAACTGAAAAGGTATTGCATTTATTTATAAACTAGAGCTGTTTGTCAATATCTTTGACACTGTACAGTAGTGTTATCTTGTATTCAGCAACTTATTTATAGTGCATTCCCAATTATATCTATTCAGCAGTAAGCATTTCTACATTTAATAGGGTTTGTTGCTCAACAAATGTGGTTAGGACATAGCTGTATTTTTGCTTGTTTGTTTGTTTTTAAAAAACCACAATTCTGCTTTTACTCCAGTGCATAAAGTGTTCTTCTCTTTCTCCAGATGAACCTGCCCCATCAGTAAAAGGAATAAATTGGATTTCTATAACTGCAAAAAAAAAAAAAAAACCACAATATTGTCCT